CCGTCCGTTCACCCGTTCGCCCGCCCGCCCACCTGCCCGCCGGCACGCCCACCTGTCCGCCCGCCCGCTTGCCCGCCCGTCCTCCGTCCGTCCGTCTGTCCATCTGTCTGTCTGTCTGTCTCTGTTTGTCTCTCTCATCTATCAATCCAATCTATCTATCTAGCAAGTCTCCAGAATCTATCTAATTCATCCCATCCATCCTATCCATCCCATCCATCTCGTCCATCTCGTCCATCCTGTCCATCCCATCCCATTTATCTATTTCTCCCATCCATCCATCCAGTTTCCAGGAAAAAAAAAAGATTCTGTTTTTCGAATCCAGAAACCGGGTTGTTTTCACCTTTCCCGCGCAGTACACAAATCCCTCCCTCCCATCCCGTTCCTCCCTCCCTCCCTCCCTCCCATCCATCCAATCCATCCCATCTATCCCATTCATGCATCCCATCCATCCCATTCATCCATCCATCCATCCCATCGTATGCGAGGAGAGGCTCACACCGAATTTTGTCCCCTGAGTCCTAGACTTCCACATCACAGACAAGCAGATCAAGAAAAGTGCTGTTTGCAACATGTAGTCTTTTGTCAGTGCAGTTTTACCCAGGCCATCCTTGCCGGGGTCTCAATAATGCCTGCCAATTTGACCAATCATATACACAAAAAAGTTGGCACTGCCAAGTTAATCAAATCTTTCACAATCAATTTTATTTCAATTTGTGTTCCTTGAACTGGCACTGGCAATTTACCTGTCTGATCCAATCATATTCATTAAACTAATAATTATTAATTTCAATTCAATCAATCATATTTATGAAGATGCTCCATCACCTTTTTCAAAGAGGAAAGAGGTGCTGATATAGTTATGGATTTCGGCGCATTTCGCAATTTGCTTACCTGATACAATCTTGCACCTTTCTTCAGAAGGTATCCTGCCTGATTTAGGTTGTCAATGAACATGTCTAGGTCAGGAACCTTCAGCCCAATCTCGTCTGCCAAACAGTACAGCTCCTGCATAAAGAGCAGAGAAAGGAAAAAAAGTTCAAAAAACCTGTCTGATCAACTAGAAGGATTGCTTGCGCTGCCATGGGTGGGGCAATGGTTGGGCCAATGGTTGGGCCAATGGTTGGGCCAATGGGTGGGGCAATGGGTGGGGCAATGGGTGGGGCAATGGGTGGGGCAAGCGACCCATAACTGTAACTAGCTTAGCGCCAGCAGTGCGGGCGGTGCAGGCAATGCCCGCACTGACAACAAAAATATGAAACATCGCACAAACTGCTCACACTGACTCAAATGGAACATTACACAAATTGCAGGGCCCACCAATTTCGTTTTGATTTTTTCAGTGAAAAAAAGAAAAAACTCATTTCCACCTAGTTTTCCTGGGCGGCCCGGCCGTGCAGGGACCAGGGAAGGTCCCAGCAAAAAAAAAAAGAAAAAGGAAAAAAATAATTTAGAAATTATGTTATGCAGAAAAATAAACTGAACAACTTTTGCCTCAGGGTCACATCGAAATTCTTTTTAAATTTTATAAAAATATTATTTTAAATATATTATTAAAATATTTTATTTTATTTTTCGCTTGGCCGGGCAAGTGGTCTCGGGCCACTCTGGTAGCCTAGTTGTTCGACCGTGAAATAATCACCACGCGAATTCGGCACTTTTTCCATTTTCGCCACTATGCCATGTGCCGGCCAACAGAAAAGTACTGCATCTTCCGTGATTTCTGGAGCTCAGAAGAATATAAGAAAAAACATGAAAATTTAAGAGTCCATAGATTTCGTTGTGATCTTTCTAGGAAAAATATTACAAAAAAAATAAACTAAACATCATTTTGGCTGCAAAATGCATCGCGGCGGGAATTCGACACATTTTCCGTTTCTGCCATTCAGGCGGTTTTCCACACTCTGCAAGGTGGACACACAGACACATCCTGACGTGCCAGCTGCCTGACACGGGATACACTTAAACAAAACGGTCCCCCAAATCGCGTAGGGACCCAATCTAGCTCAACAGTTATCTCAGGCATTGGGTTTCTCAAATCTGTGCCTGGGTTGGAACCCCAACTACAACAGTCAGCAGCAAGCTTCAAAATATTAATGTGTGTAAGTGCCACTGAGTGGGCAGGCAGGCTGGCACACGAGCAAGCATGTGTGCATGGGTGGATAGGTGGTTTTTCTTCTTTTGCACAAAAAAAACATCTTAATGTGTGTGGGTGGGCAGGCACGCAAGCAAGCATCTGTAATGGGTGGATAGGTGGTTTTTCTTCTTTTGCCACAAAAACCATCGGGAAGACAAACCACGTGCACAAAACTACATGCGGGAACACAAAAAAAGGAGCATAAAACGACAGGCGGAAAAACAAAAAAAGTGCAAAGGGGACACAAAACGACAGGCAAAAACAAAAAAAAGAAAAGGGGGAGCAAAATGATGCCTGCCCGCTATGGGATGGCTCTCCTTCAAAGATATTCATCTGCATCAACGCCCGCCGTGTGCCCCACCCCCCAGGCGCTCTCTCTCATTTAATGGTGCGCCACATCCCTCTGCACACTCCCCCGCCCTCGATCGCCTTCACCCACCAGCGCTCGCCAAAACTTCAACCCGAATCCGCCACGAAGCGGACCATAGGCCTTCCCCCCACGGCCAACGCTGCTTAAGGGGTAGGATAAAAATAATAATAATAAAAAAAAAGAATACGAACGCCACATGCAGAACCACCTACAATTATGGAAAGAGGGACGAACGAAGCGGGACAGGGAGCAGAAAGGGGACAGCAGGAAGCAGTTGAGAAAAGACAAGCGGGCCACTGTGCGCTTGTGACACATGCATCAATAAGCAATACAAAATGCAAAGGGGTGGCATACACCCAGTAAAAAATGCAAAGAACCACTTTTTTTTTTCTTTTTTTTTTTGAAACACCAGCAGTCGCAGATAGGAGTGATGGTGCAAGCATACACTCCTATCTGCTCCACCAATGGCGCCAATCTATTGGTGGGAAGCAGCACCTGCTGGAAACCGGGTCCAGCGTCCCACAGAAGAACCACCTACAAGCATGGAAAGAGGGACGGAAGAGTTGGGAAAAGACAAGTGGGCCACTGTGCAGTTGTGACAAATGCACCCAATAAGAAGTATACAAAATGCAAAGAGGTGGCCGCACCCAGGTGGTTGAATGGTACACAAACATAATAAGTGTTAGTAAATAGATGATGAGTTCAAATCCAGATGGAAAACATAAGGGGCTACCCCTTCTTAGGAAAAAAGAAGAAAGAGAATTCAAGAAGGAAAAGTAACGAGGAAATGAAGATGACGAGCGAGATTTGGCTAAGTGGAAAATGCGACTGAGGAGGAGGAGGAGGAGGAGGAAGGGAGGACCCGATAATGGTAGAAAGATATGCTGGTGATTGTGGAGGTGGGGAGAAGAGAGAGCCGAGACCAGAGGGGGAAGGAAGAAGGTGGAAAATTCATTGTGTCAATGAACTATTATTATTAGAGTTTCTCCTCCTCCTACTTTTTCTTTCTTTCGTCTTGGCACTGGTCTGCTTGCTATCATCTTGCCATTGTCATTCTTTGAGCATTGTGTATGTCATGCATGCTGTTGATGATGTGAGCTCCTTGGAACTGGGTTCATTACAAAATCTCTAATACTACTAAATAATAACAGACAAATATTAAATAATAATGCAATGAGCCCACGAGTTCACAAAGCATCGACATTACACTCCACACATGAAAGCTCATACCAGAGATGGAAAGCAACAAAAGTTATGAGACCTTCAGAAATTGTTCAGAAATCAATGTGTTATACTGCAATTCACATGTACACAGGTATGTGCCTATGGCTGCCAACAACAACCCTCAAGTGCTCTCTCTCTCTCTCTCTCTCTCTCTCTCTCTCTCTCTCTCTCTCTCTCTCTCTCTCTCTCTCTCTCTCTCTCTCTCTCTCTCTCTCTCTCTCTCTCTCTGTGTGTGTGTGTGTGTGTGTGTGTGTGTGTGTGTGTGTGTGTGTGTGTGTGTGTGAAAGTCTTCCTCGATCTTCTCTCTCTCTCTCTCTCAAGCTACCGCAATGGTGCTGAGCAGTTTCGACCACCCTACTCGACTTGCATCGCTTCATACTTGGTCACACAAGACCACAGCAGCACTTTCGCAACAACCTTGAATGGAAAATTGTGTTGACGCTTTGCTGCAGTCCAACTTTTGTATCCGATGCTTCAGTCTCCAACCTTGGATTTCGCACACTCTTACCCTCCTCCTCCTCCTCACCTGTAGGCCGGAGTCAGCCTTTGATGCATCCGGAAGGACTGGAAGTTTCACTGTCTTTCCTGGGAATGAGCTGTGGACTGGCCTGGACTGACTGATGCAACTGGACTGACTTGACTGACAGGTTCATCATACTTACCGGCCTATTGGACCTAGACCTAGCTATCCTACCTACCAGAATGGCACTATGGTACATGGGACTCTGGTGGAACTTTGGGACTAGGACTTGGGACAGAGTGCTGATACGCGTGAAATCCTTTCACTCCTGCCGGGCTGAATTCGAGATTAGGCGAGACTACGAGATTTCCTTGCATCAATTTAGGCAAAACTATCCGCAAATGTTCCTGCTGCTGCTGCTGCTGCTCTTCTAGGGTCGTCATAAACACTAAGATGTCGTCTAGATACAGAACTACGAATCTAACAAGCCACTCTATAAGAATGTCATTTGTGCATCGATGAAATGTAGCAGAGGCATAAGTTAGTCGAAAGTTCATCACAATGAACTCATAGTGGCTATATTGGGTTCGGAATGCAGTCTTGTGCTGATCTTCCTTAATTACCTCTATATGATGATGATATGAGGACTTCAATTCTATCTTCAAGAAGTACTTGCATCCCTGCAAACAGTTTAATCGATTGTTCATGCCGGACAGTTATAGCATTCAGCACTCTATAATCGATACAGAGTGTCAATCCGCCCTCTGTCTTCGGGTACAAAGTACTACAAACAGAACTGGCGCTCCATATGGGAGGTCAGCTAGGCTTTATCCACCCTTGCACAATTCCTCTAATCCTATGAGAGACATCCCATAGATCTGACCCTTCAGGGTCTTGCTACAGAGTACTATCTCTATTCAATGTTTGATCTCTCTCTCCACTACTCTCTTAGGTGCCACCTCAAGGTCTGCAAACTCTTTTGATATTCGCCTGTGTTCTCGTCTGACCGACTAACCTGCTCTCTTCATGGGTTGTGACCATGCTAAAAACACTTGATCTACCATCTATTTCTTTTCTACGTATCTAGTAAACGGAGGGGTCCTCATGCAGGGCCCACAGGTATCCAGGGGGGGTGCTGTTAATAACTTACGTTGGGTAACCGGCTCGCCTCGGTCACAAAAGAGCTGCCTGCAGCCAAGAACGTCGGTCACAAAAGAGCTGCCTGCAGCCAAGAACGGCTAAGGCCCCAATATTGGCCTGGAGCCTGGAGGTGGTAGCTTATGCAGAAGAACAAAACCAGGACCAAATCATGCTATATTATGGAACAGGGACGAACCGGAGCCACATATACTTTGGACTTTGGACATGGGTTGGAACCATGGCCTTTCGACATGGGATGGAACCATGAACTTTGGACCTTGATCTACAGAAAAGTAATCCACCCAGAACACAAAGAGAACAGCAAGCAGAAGCACACAAGAGTCATCACCAGGACAGGGCAGAGTAGGGACCAGAAAAACTGAAAGTAGAACCTGACAAGCTTACAGTATTTGAAAGAAAGAGGAGGGAGGAGGGAGGAGGGGGGAGGGGGGGGAGACAAGAAAAAGCCATCAGTCTTACGCTGGTACTGAAGATTGCTTTCTGTTGTGCATCGGATTGATTTTGCAGTGCGCTCAAGAACCGCTTTGCCTCTTTTTGCTTGCTCATTCCACCGCTGCGTCCTACTTCCACACACCCTTGCTCATCGACATATTTATCCAAGAGAGACTCTTTCATTATCTCAACCACATCCTGCATGGACGTAATCACCAGACAGCAAGCCATTAATCCGGTAAATGAGATTGTGTTGAGAGACACATATTGCTGTCAAATTTCCAAACCATAGAGGAGGTTGCACAAGTCCAAATGCAGAAAACAAATCAACTCCACTGTTTACTCAGACTACTGCAATGATCTAACTGCAATTTAACGACAAACTTTGACATGCATCAGTACCAAAAATTCACAGGAAGCTCGCAACACACAAGAGAGATGGCCATCAGCCCAAACAGAATTGATGGCCTCCCAACGCATTAAAATTACACAGGTTCCAAGTACATATTACAAGCTGTTAAAACCCTGAAAATTTAGGGCTCTGTTAACCTCTTCTCGGCCGCTATTGCCGTTCACACCATACAAACTTTGTCCGTCTCTCTCTCTCTCTCTCTCTCTCTCTCTCTCTCTCTCTCTCTCTCTCTCTCTCTCTCTCTCTCTC